CAACAACAACATCTTCATCAACATCACCATCATCAACACATCATCTTCATCTTCAAAGCCGAAAAAAAAAGAGAAAGAAAATAGAGTCTGAAATTGCACCCTCCATCACCGTCCACCATCGCCCCGCCCTGCCATCACCGTCGCCTCTCTCTCTGTTTCTGTCTCTCTTCTTTCCTCCTCTCTCTTTCTCCCTCCCTCTCTCCTCGTGTTCGTTCCTCCTGTTCAGATATAAACGAGGAGAGAAAAAGAAAAAAAAAACATTGCCAAAACGACGTCGTTTCAACAATTCAGGCCATTCGGGAGAAAATTTTTCGAGCTATAAAACACTTCTCATTAGAACCTACGAGCAATTTCTCCAAAACTAAATTGATTGTGAATTGTTGATTTGAGTGGGCTTTTTAATTGGGTTGAAGGGTTTTTTAGTTTAAACACTTGGGTTTGGGCTTGGGCTTGGAAAGTCAATTTGGACTCAGCCCAACCAAACCACTCGAGTTGAAGCCCTAAACCTTCCATCACTCGACGATGTCGTTTTAAAACCCCCCTAGAACACTGTCGTTTTGAAGGAACATGTCCTCTCCAAAGGAATCACAAGACTTCGGACCCATGCACAAAGACGAACAAAAATCAAGGGAGAGAGAGAGAGAGTGTGACATTGTGTGTTGTTTCTTGTTTGGAGAAGGGGTTTATGTGGGGTTTTCAGTGTACTATATGTATCTGTAGAGAGAGAGGGAGAGAGGAGTGTAGAGAGAGAGAGAGAGAGATGGGTTCGCTCACAAAATGGAGTGGGAAGAGGACTACACGAAGGCAAAGAAGAAGAAGGAGTTGAACCCATATTAATGGAGAATTCACAGAGGTTTTGTATGTTCCCAATTCGATATCCACAAGTTTGGGAGATGTACAAGAAGGCCGAAGCCAGTTTTTGGACCGGTAATGTATATATAATCATACATACATGACTTGTGTATTTGCATTCATTTGAAATTCTCCGAAATTTCTTCAAGTTTGTTTCCCAAATTGAAAATTTTCGCTTAAATAATCCATTCTCGAAATTGGGTATGTATTCCCTCTCTCTCTTTCGTATTTATTCTCTGATTATTGTTTAAAAGGCTGGTGTTTTGTGAGATTGCTATACTCAGTTCATCGTGTATGGGTTTTCTTTTGAAGACCTTGTCTTCTTTTTCCTTTTTTTTTTTTTTATATATAATTAAAATTGTTAGTTTTCTAACTTTCTCTGTGCGTTTTTTGAATTTTGAGTACCAGAATATATGTTTGTAGGTCAACTGTTTGTGTTTTTGGAGAAATTATTCAATACTCCCAGAGCACCACATGGCTATACACCAAGCCAATCACCAATTACTTAGCCCATGTTGTTCCCCCATCTCCAACATGAATTATGGGCCCCTACACCTTTCCACCAATTAAAACCTTATGGAGCACCACGTGTCTATACTCCGGGCTGAATAATTGCCCGTGTTTTTGTTGTTGTTGGAATTGGAATGGCAATAGAAAGGAAGGATTAAAATTGGGTACTATTTTTGATACCTAGTTATTAAAAAAGTAAAACGATATATATATATATATATATTTTGAACCAAAAAATAAAATGATATATAAGTCCATTTTCTAAACCTACTTTGTAGAATCAGTCAATGGTTGATAATTATTAATTAAAGTATACATGTGAGAGACAGTTGCCTTAGATATTTTAATAGGGTGCCACATCATTAGGGGTGAAAAGTGGATCAAACTTTTGGGCTACAGTAACACTACTCTTTAAAAAAAGTAAAAATTGGGTACTATTTTGTTTATAAACTGGTTTGAAAATGTTGGCTCTGCTTGATTATACTTACTTTAGTTACTGGGTTACTTTTTGGTGGGGCATTCCTCAAAAGCCCATAGTTAAGAGGGGGTAGCTTTCGAATTTGAAATACTGTTGCTTTGGGAAATTGATTCGCTGCTTGTTTATATAAAATAGACGCAAAGAAAGAGTGAAAAACATGTTCTTTTGGTCATGTGAACAAGACAAGGATTGTATGGTATGATACCAATCCAAATAAATGGAGTGGTATAAATGGAAAATGAACACATCATTTAAGTCATTCTGAAGCAGGCATTGTGTATATGAAAGGATTTGATAGCAAGTTAGTCCATGTGTAGGCAATTATGATTTAGTTTTGGGTGCTTTCGAATAGCATTAACTATTTCATAGGGAAAGCAGACCCTCACTGTTGCACCTATTGTGAACTTTTAGTCGTAGTGTTAGTATTATGAGGTTTGTGTTTTGCATTTTATTCCTTCCAATTTTTATTCCATGCCATTGTTATTTACGTCTTTAAACCATTCTAGATGATGTAAACTTGTAAGGTGGTATGAGAGCCAAGTAAGTATGATGCCACCTGCTATAACAGAGTTAGGACAAAATAAATGATATTCCATGTAACTAGGAAAGCATGTGGTTGGCAACAACAGGGAAGAGGTGGTGGGGTTTTTCGGAAAGGATGGGGTGGTCATAGATGATGGTGACAATAGTGGTGGTGCCGCCAATTGTAGATATGGCATAGTGGTTTGGTGGTACCGCATTTCTGGCTGCTTTAACCATCATGATGTGTTGGCGGTGTTTTTGGTGATATTAGTAGTGGTCACTATTAATTGTGCTGGTAGCATATGAGTAAAAATTATGATGTATTTTATTTTCTAACTTCTTGGGGTTGGTTTTAAATGAAGAAATACAAGGACATTAGAACATGTTATGTGTCTTACCTTTCGACTTCTTATGTTGGATATTCTTTGTATCTTTTATTAAGTCGAATGCATCAAGTGTGATTTTGTTTTACTTTTTCCTCTTTGATTTCCATCTTTGCTATTTTCTATTACTCTTTTTTTTTTTGGTGCAAATTATTCTAATAACTTTTTATTGGGTTCTCAGCCGAGGAGGTGGATCTCTCCCAGGATGTGCAGCAGTGGGATTCTTTGTCTGATTCCGAGAAGCACTTTATAAGCCATGTATTGGCATTTTTTGCTGCATCCGATGGGATTGTTTTGGAGAATTTGGCTGGAAGATTTTTAAATGATGTTAAAATTCCAGAGGTAAATTTCTTGACGATGCTCCATTCATGCAACTTTCAGTGTCTGTATCGGCTTTAGATTATGTCTAGTTTCAATGCTATTGCTTTATTTCGCCTTTTATGATGTGTTCCTCCATTCACTGCTAACCTTTCTGCAATTTAGTGAATTGAGTGTTACATCAGTAGTTCTGAGTCCTTGGACTAGTTCATGTTTATGTATGATGGACATAGTGGGGAAACTTCATTAGGAGCTATTTTATGTTTTGTTGCTTTGTCCTGCAAGAATTCTCCAGAGAGGATTGACATTTGCTATTTAATATGAGGCATTATTTTTGGGAATAATAACCAATAGATCTTATAAAAAAACAAAGCCCAACCAGCACACATTAATGTGTGTTTGGGAGGGGAAAGATTGGGTAAACACCTAGCCTTTGACATAGTACACAAAGTGGTTGCTCCGAGCTCATAACCTCAAGGTTATTAGGTCAAAGTTTTACTATTGAACCACTGGTCACCCCTAACCAATAGATCTTATATCGTAATAAAAATGTTGTTTTTGAAGAAAACCAACTACATTGCTAATAGCCAGATGCAAACAGTAATGTGATTCGTGAAAGTGGTTATGAATAAATGTTAAAGATCAAGATGTAGTTTTGAACATTAGTTGATGATCAATAACGTTCAAGAAAATTTTCAATTTTTTTGGTAAAGAGTTTTGTGCCAAATAATTCGCATACATTTTTAAAAAAGTGAGAGCAAATTATGAGCAGAAGAAAAGGCAGTTAATGTCACCATTAAATATGGCTTCTTACTTTTTTTCCCTTTCTAGTTTATACGAATTAGCAATTTAAATAATGAAATTTTCTTGCTAGTTTTGTGCCAGATAATGATATTAATTATTAATGGCAGAATGCAATGCAGGTGGCAATGAAATGGGGATGACTGGATTAGGTCTCTCCATTGTAGTGTGCACCTATCTTAGATATAGATGCAATAAAAATCGTGTCCTTAAATGTTTATATTTTCATTTTTCTTTTTTGGTACTGATAATGCACTTACATTAATCCTTTTTATGTTTTCTAGGCTCGGGCATTTTACGGATTCCAAATTGCAATGGAGAATATACATTCTGGTAGAGCTTTGTATGTGATATTGCAGTGATTTACTATCTCATGCATTCTTGAGTTACCTGATACTGGGTATTTCTTCCTTTTTTTCTTAGAGATGTACAGTTTACTTTTGGAAACATACATCAGGGACTCGAGGGAGAAACATAGATTGTTCAATGCAGTTGAGAATATTCCTTGTGTTGCTCAAAAAGCCAAATGGGCTTTGGATTGGATTCAAAGGTATTAACACATTCTTATTTTGCATTATTTAAATAAATTTTACATAATGATTTTCTTAAAGATTAGCTTGTAAGTCGGTACTGGTTTTTAATGATAGAAGTACTGATTGACCGTGACTCCTATGTAGTGTTTGGTTCATTGGAATAAAGTGGAATGGAATGATTGTACCTTCAAAATATTCATTTCCATGTTTGGTTGACTAAAAAAACAATGAAAAATATATTGCAAATAGAATCATCATTCACCATTGTAAAAGGAATGATATTCAATAGGAGAGCCTAAGTAATGATGATTCCATTTTATTTCATCTCATTTCAGTGAACCGAAATAGAGCATAAGCAATTGGAAAACAAAATCATTCAATCTTTTTTTTTTTGGTTTGCAGCCAAATTTTTCTTGAGAAGCTAAGTGTAGGTATATTTCCTATTTTGTCTGATTGATGTACTTTAATTTAGTAATCATTGTTTTTTGTCTTGCTGAGTAAAATTGATGTGAAAATGGTTTTTCAATCTCTCTCTCTCTCTCTCTCTCATGTGTATGTGTATGTGTATGTGTACGTGTAATAATCATGCATGCACACACGAGGGGGTTGGAAAGTTTTCATTGAACTGTCAAATATGGCAAAAGCAATAGAATTAGCAATCTTCCAGCTTTTCAAGGTGTGAGTCACTCTCTCAAAACATGCACTGAACGTTTTACTGATTCCTTTTATATAGGAAGCATGTGTGACTTGGAGAAGAGGACACCTCAAACTCCATATATTGTTAACTTTGGATATTTGCTGCCTTCTTTTGTATTTTCTGGTACATTATGTCATTACTTGATAGACTAATTGTAGTTACTTCTGCTAGAGGTGCCTTAAGGCTGTGGAACCCTACTAATGTAGATTGTAGAAACGGCAAATACTAATGTAAAACCCTACGTTTGTCTTCTTTGTAGCATAAACTTTAACATTAAATATTTGAAGTGGCTTTATGCTAATTTTAGGGATACTGCTTTTCATCAATTCGACTGAATATACATTCCAGCTTTATTCACTCATATTATGCAACTTATTAAAACATAGCTCTTACTTCCATCTAACAATATGGACATTACTTGCCAGTTTCTGTTTAAATCTTTTGATCAGTAACAAAAATTTATTAAAAAAGTGAACAAGTACAAAAGGAGGGGACAAGAAATCCACCGAAATCGGGGGGGTGTGGGGGAGAGCTTGGACTTGAATCCTCACTTTACAAATAGCACTCCGATCTCTAGAAATTTAATGGAATCCCCTTAAAAGAAGGGGCCCCCAAAACCCAAAAAGAGTCTGAGTAACAAATTTTCTCCCAAATGCTCTCAACATCACTTTTCTCATAAAAAAATCCTAGCATTCTATTCTAGCCATAAACTCAAAGAACCACACACAACACATCTTCAAAGAACCCGAGCCTTGGCATTTGAATCAAATCCTGTAAAACCAATGCATAACAAATTCTCACAAAATGGTGGTAAAACCTAATCCTCCTCCATCAAATGAAATACTCTCCACCATAAAGATAGAGCCCAAGGACAATGAAAAAATAAATTATCCTTACTTTTCCGTTTAAATTCAAGAACGTTGTTCAACATTTTGATTCTGTTGGCCGTCTCAATTATGGTAGTTTAGCTTCATTCTTCTGTTTGAAAATAGAATGAATATAAGAGATATGAGATACTTCTGCTCATCAAATCCTCATTGTGCTAATATCCATATGCAGCTCCAGCTCATTTGCAGAAAGAATAGTTGCCTTTGCATGTGTTGAAGGAATATTTTTCTCAGGAAGGTATGCCTTTTCAAATAGTTGTCTCTTTCTTATTCTTTAGTGTGGATGGTTCTAAATGTCATGCTTGTTTGTGAAAAAAGATATCCGTCACATATAATTGTGCTCTTTTCCCCTCAGTTTCTGTGCCATTTTTTGGCTTAAAAAGAGGGGACTCCTGCCAGGCTTGACATTTTCAAATGAACTTATTTCTAGAGATGAGGGTCTCCACTGCGATTTTGCTTGTCTTCTATACAGGTGGCTTTGCTTCTGTTATTATTTGATGCTTTATTGGAAATTGAAGTATGTTGCTATGCTATGCTCTCTCTCTCTCTCTCTCTCTCTCTCTCTCTCTTTCTTCTTCTTCTTCTTCTTCTTCTTCTTCTTCTTCTTCTTCTTCTTCTTCTTCTTCTTC